ACTTTGAAGTTGTGCGTGTACTGCTGGAAGCTGGAGCTGACAAAGATGCCGGAATTGGAACTGGGGAAACAGCTTCGTTTATTGCAGCAGAGCAAGGCCACTTGGAAGTTGCACAGCTGCTGCCGGAAGCTGGAGCTGACAAAGATGCTGCAGTCGCAACAGGGTAATCCGTCGTGGTCTCAGATGATTAAAGTGGGTGCTTCGGGTTGCGCAGAGGACAGGAGAAGAGATGGGTCCTGAAGTATATCAGCTGTCCAGATTCCCAAAAAAGGCTAGAGATGCGGGCCCCTGGTACAATGGTGCAGAGCAGTCTGGCATCCTGCCGTCCCAAACCACAAGATATTGAGTCTAGAGAACCAATGATAAGGACTGTTTCTTCCAAGTTTGTCATTTGTCTTCATGGGATGACGGATGGCTATTTGATGCCATTTGCATTCGCAAATCTTGGGACAGCCCGTAAACCACTTCCGGCCCGAACTCATCATCATCATCACCATCACCATCACCACCATCACCATCACCATCATTCACCATCATCGTCATCGTCATCGTCAATCATCCTAGATTTGGTTCCCCTTCGTTGGTGATTCAATATCCATTTCTCGTCTCTGGACGGAACGCTCGCGCTGACCGATGAATTCGACGGTCGATGCCAGACGTTCGATTTCGACGGATGTCTTCGCAGGCGATCAAGCGTGGAGCGACCTCTGTGCGTGTAGGCGGGAGAGTGTGGAGCATCCCTGTTTTCTGTCCACAGGATCAAGGGTCTTGGCTCATCAAATTAAGTCTGAGACTTTGTCAGTAAAGACTCCTATAGCTTGTCGTGGTTCTTTACAACTACTCCCCAAAAAGCTTGGTGTTATGGCAAGGCTTAAGGCTTGCTGGCTGCATCTCCGTCCTGCAGCGGTTGTTTGGTTTGACAGGACCCAGACGATCCCCAGACGACCGGGTCAACCGACGTCGGACCGTGGGATCACGACCTGAATTGCATAGCCTGGCATTTGAAGGTATCGGCTCAACTACTGGTGATTGTTTATGAGTTTTACATGCCAATATCGAGGCTTCGACTGAGATCTTTCAATGGCTCAACTACTTTTTGGAACATCTGCTGATATCCGCGGTAAGGATTCTATGGTTTACGTGCTCAACATTGCTCAACTATGTATCCAAACCTTTCAGTCCCAAGTCTTGCTTCAACTCGGAGCACCAGGTACCTCCATCTTTGGCACCAGACCGCCCAAAGAGTAAAAAAAGGCCTAAGCGGTCGACTCTTGCGCGGTCCACTGCGATTCTCCCGCAGGAGGGGAAATTGATGAACAACTCCAGCAGCAGTTTGCGAGCACAATATTGATTTGGAGATGCTGTCAAAGTCACGCCTTCTACAGAAAAAAAACAACAATACATAAAGGAGTTCTATACAGACTCTTTCAAAGAGGAACACGTCTTCCCAGCATGCGATCGCTTGTGAACACGTCGGGATCGAATGAGCCGATGTTCCGTTCCGTATTCGGGGTCGGTGTTTCTTTGAAGCGATGTTGGTCTCCATCCTACCCAGGAAGCATGTGGATCGCCTGCCCAACTTTGGGCCAGAGGATTTTGAGACACCTCACAAAACAAGACCTGGAAGTTCCTGTGCTACGCTATATGCTACGCTCCTCAGAGAACCGGCCGAAATCAAGAACTTGACACTTGGGCAGTTGGACCCGATGCACACGTGGTTCTTCACTTGTTTCATATCTCACCGTTGTGTGCCACGCCTCACCGTCTATCATGAGCGCCTCACGTAGGCGTAGTCGCCTCGTCTCACTTGTCACGGGAAAGTTCAGTTTAGACCCTGGAAAATTCACATATGAAACATTAGGAACCTGAGAACATCAACAAGTGTTCCGACATGGAACCCGAGAATTGACCCGTGGTTTCAACCATTTTCCAACCCAGTGGTTTTGGGGTTCCATGTGGTCCTTTGCAGGGGAGTAACCTCTATGTTCCAGGGAAAACTGGGAGAGTCCGAGTCTTTTTTGGGAGGCCCACCGTGCCCGGCCCAATGACATCGATGAACATGGGCTCAAGCGTATAGCATCTTATAGCGCCCAAATGGGGCTGGACAAGAACATCATGTTTGTAGGGGTGTTCTTTCTTCACCCCTAGTATAATATAGAACAACCCTACACCGTGAACCCGCTAAACTCCAGAAGTGCTTTGGGTCTGGGGTATATACAACTTCTTTGCAGGTTGTTGCTGCCCTTTTGAAAATCCTGCTATGTTCTTTTGGCAGAGAGACCAAAGGACTTTGCTGAAAGCCACACCACGACTGAACTGATTATCGCGTCATGAAACCTGTGTTGAATATGGCCAACTTCGACGCTGGATCACGTTGCACAGAATCCAGGCCGCTTAGGTGGTGAGCCTCCACCAGACCTGCATGGGTTGTAGGTGTAAATAGTGTGTTATTTGAATCGCTATCCCGGCAGACCGGCATGGGATAGCCATGGTGACTTAGAAGTCGGCTGCTTGGAGAAATGAAGTTCCAACTCATTCTCAGTTGGAGAGGAGGAAGGGATGCACAAATAAAGCTGCGTATGCACTGCGCTTCCGAAAACAAACATGGAAGGCCATTTTCCTTTATCAGGTGAGCCTGGTCCAAGTCCATGCACTTCCTGAATTTGTTTGAGGAGCTGGATCAATGGAATAGGTAGTCAGGACATGTCAGAACTTCATGGGTTTGAGGAGTCAGTTAACCGCCAGTCCAAGTCTATGGTTTGCAGGATTCAAAGCCTCAAAGCCTTTGGCCTGTGGCTGGTATGCGGGACAAAGGAATGTCCACAGGATCTCCTTCACACAATAACGGCTTTCATAGTTGGTGGACATACACGGCATATCTAAGCATGCTGGAGAAGCAACGCAGCATGTGGAGTCCACAAGATAGTTGTGTTTTTTGTTGTTGTTGTTATTTCTCACCAACAGCTGCCAGCTGCCTGCGGACCATCGGACGATGAAGGCCTATCGTGCTAGACAAACAAATAATTGGCTTTCGGGTCCATCGCTGCTGGAGGCGAAACCGATGCCCAGACCGATGATCCGATGCGAAGTTTCGGTGGCCAGGCCCCATCTCAACACAGGTTGAAGGACCCCACGGACTATCCCATAGATACTCCCAGGTGACAGGGTCTTGGACAGAAAGCAAAAGCCTCTCTTGATATCGGCTTTGTATGCGGTGCCAGGTGCCACCGAAACACCGAGCCGCTGGTGCCATCAGGTGCCCATGGGCCGTTTCCATGCCTCCACGAAGCACCACGCAGAGCGGACGGTGCCCTTCGGAGCGGCCTTCGACCCTCGGCTGGGTTTGGACATGAAATCCTCTCCAAACAGTTGATGGTTGAAGCATGTTCCACTAAACTCTGTTTTGTGTTGGTCTATGTTCCCTTAAAATTACTCAGTCTCATGTTGAGACACATCCTGGAGATGGGAACCATTCTTTTATACGACACATAATATGTTCTTGGCACTTCAGAATATGTTAACCTGTGCGAGAACCTTGAAAAGGCAATCACTTTTGTGATATTTCTTCCGGGCTCCTCAAGCAAATCATGATTGGATGGTTCCTGTATAGGACTGAAAGATGGCTGACCGCTCAACGTGCCAAGGCAAGCCTTCGATCCCTGTGGGATGTGTTGGCGCATTTACAATCATTCTAATATATATATATATAGGTGCCAAGAATCTTGAGGGGGATAGACTGGGGGATCGTCAGGAGTTCCGATCCCAGGACCTTTTGCACCTGCCCCACGCAGTTTCCACATGGTACCACTGAAGAAAATAGGATCTAGGAAGCAAAGATGATATACTGTAATGCCTCCCTCACATGTTCAAAGACCCAGTAACTACCTGGTCCTCTACCTCATTGAGACCATCTTTTAGTGGACCAACTCCAGTAAAATGAGATCTTTGACCTGTAGACTTCCGGAGATTCCTCAATCGTAAGGTGTCTCAACTCACCGCTTTTGGACGCTTTTTGCTCTGCGTCCGGTAGATCTTGACCCTAAAACATGCCGAGCCTCAACTCAGCTGGGAGCGTCGTCCCGGGGACTGACGCCGTAAAAACAGGATGCTTCGGTGGGCAAGTCCTTCCCGCGGAACTATGCCGCCTGATTGCAGGGTGAACTGTTGGCCAAGGCGGATGAATGACAGTGGGCACTGCGTCACTGACTCGTTAGATCGCTAGATATGCTAGATGATTGCTAAGGTGAGCAACATCATAAACCTCTATGAAAGAATTTAGGTAGGACTTAAGATTATGAATCTGTGCGAAAGGAAAACTGCAGTTGGGGAAAGCTTGGCGAAAGGTTTGGAGAAAGGCTCTGATTTTTTGATGAATGGATTTTGTTGCGAAAGGGTTGGCGAAGAGGTTTTCAGCACAAAGCATGTCATCCAAAGATTCATGATAACCAGGCGAAAGGTTGGCGAAAGGTTCGCGAAGATGTGGCGAAAGCAGTGGTTGCAGATTAGGAATGATTCCCCTTTGCTCATACATGCTAATATTTTTCTTAGATGTAAGTAGCAGAAACTCGGCGAAAGGGTTAGCTAAAGAGGTTGTCGGGTGAAGTGGGTCGGCGAAAGCAAAACATGCAGCCGCGAAAGCGTTGCGAAGGGATTGGCGAAAGGTTGTTATAATCTTAATAAGAGTTCCGGATGGTTCTTGACACCGCTCAGGTGTTCATCAGGAAGAATGTTCCTCTTTCAGCTCAATTTTCTTTGTTGGGGTGCCAATGATGAGGCCATGTGAGCTGGGCCGCCTCCCAGTCCAGCTGACTGGACCCCGATTGAGAACCAGCCACGGGGTGCCATACGAGACACTGGGACATAGGTGCCATGCCCTGCCGAGACTGCCCAATGCTTCTCCAGATCATGGCTCCCAAATCGGGAGTTGATGGCTGTTTTGCATTCAGGATTTGTGAACCTTGATGTTCACTGCAGTGAATACAAAACATAGGTGCCACCACTCTACAATACCTATTAGGACAGTCCTTCGAAACACCGGTGCTTTCGGCAAAAAACGCAGAGCATTTCTTCCTTCCCCAGCTGGGTTGTCTGCCCCGGGGGGGAAGTATGTGAAGTGTATGCAAAAAAGAGGCGCTTCTTCTGTCGAGGTCACCACATCGAAGTACACCTGGTTGAGCTTCCTGCCGTTGGTGACGTTCGAACAGTTTCAGCCACTGGACGGTGCAGAAGTGCCGGGGAGGGGTATGGGGGCGTCGGCGCAGCCACCATGGACATGTGGTGTCATGTTGAAAATATGACACCACGGGTTGAGATTCTTTGGGGCGAAACGTGGTTGTTTAGGGAAGCAAGCAATGCGTGTTTGGCGAGCGTCCTGGACGGGGAGCACTTCTACCTGCATGTGGATTGTGCTGCCAACACAGGCCCAGTAAGTTTGTATGTCCGACGCTTCTGTTAAGATACAGTTGGGTCCACTAAGCTTTTCATCCTTTGAAGTTCCCGGGGGTGGAACAACCTAACCTAAGATTTTGGAATGCTTCAATTGGCTTTATCAAAGTTTTGCAGGAACATCTTTTGAATACTATTCATTACTGTTCCGTTTTTTGAGGCAAGGCATTCGAGCTTCCTGATTGAAATCAGGAACGCATGTATATATTATTGTAGAACTGTGGACGCTTCCCATTTTAACCAGACTTGCTTGGGATTGCGCGATTATCCACAGCTGCACAACTCACCTGCAACTAGAAGCCAGACCCATGGCAAGCAGTGCCGCAAAGTGTGCTGGCCTAAGCAGCCTTAACAAGTGCGAGACAGTCAGTGTTCTTGGATGTGGGAGGGTGAAGCGTGTGCAAGATTTGTAGTTTGCCACTGGCAGCCTAAAACTGACACATCATCCACTGCAAGCCTTGCATGTGACAATGGGACGACCACGCTAAATTTCATCTCAGCGAAGAGCTTTTCTTTGACAAGCTACTGAATCTCAGTAATTGCAGCAACATATATATATTATATATACACATAAATTAATCTATTTATACAATTGGATGTCAAGCTATGGACGAGCCTTTCCGGAACTGCTGAATCATCATCAACACGATGCTTCAGAATTGAATAATAGTTCATCCCATGTCCGAATGTGGAGTAGTCTCCTCGCTCAGGAAGAGAGCCAATGTCTACTTCACCTTCATTTGCATCTTGATGTACCTGGGCGAACACACACCGCTCATCGATAGCAGCGTCTCCTGGTGGTC